CGGAAACCAGCCTCCAGCACTCCTTCTCATTCCAGTCACTTTACGTCCGTTTTCATAAAAAAAATCGAGAGAAAAAAATGTATAAAAATCTCGAACGCGGCCTGTGCTGGTGTCAGCTGCCGGTTCGAAGCGAGGCCCGACACATTTTTATTTTCCTCGCAGCATACCAAACAGACGCTTTCCCCTGCTCGCTTTTATACCCCGGCCCCCCCCAGCTGATTTGGGATACACTTTTTGACGACGGCATCGGCCCGATGACGTCACTGTCACGGCCCCCGGCCAATGGCAGCCAATGGCAGCCAATGGCCACGGCCACTCCCGGCATGGAGATGAGCCGCTCTGGCTGCAAGGATGGCCCTGGAATGGGTTATGCGGATTAGTTCCATCACCTGGCGGGCGGGGCGCTGCCGGCGCTCTGCCGACGCGTGCAGTGCGGTGTGCGGTGTGCTCTCGTTAGCCTCACGAGCCGTGAGAGCGCCGACCCTGCCGCCCCGCCCCGCCCCGCCCACCACGGAATTTAATTACCACTTGGATTGCACGGGCATCATTGTGCTGGTCCCGACAAGGCTCGGCCAGGGCGAGGGCCGGGCAGGGCAGGGCAGGGCAGGGCAGGCCCCGCAGTGACAGACTCCCTTCACCGCGACTGCACACGACGCCACGTCGCGCCGCACGGCCGTCGGCAGGTTTCTGCTGAAAAGGCGAACGGAGCACTCCGCCGGAGCATCTCCCATTTCTCAGTGGCGCGGTGGCGGCGCGGTGGCGGCGTGCCGGAGCGACGGACAGAGAGAGAGAGGGAGAGACGTCAGCGAGATAACCGAGTCGTTACTCTTCGCATGCGCGTAATGAGGCCAAGAGTGCGCCACCTGCTGCACGCAGACTAATTTCAAACCGTGGTTTCACCGCGCCGTCTCTCTCGCACGCCGACGGAGCGGCCCGCGAGCGCGACAGAGACAGCGCGACTGGTGCACGCGCGTGTCGCGCTTGTCACGCCGTCGACGCGGTCGGCACGCAGCTTGCCGGTGGCCGCGGCCGCACGGAGCGCGGCACAGAGTAGGGGCTGCCACTTCGGAAAGATAGGGAAAAGGGCCGCATTTTTTGGTCGTTTCATTATTTTTGGAGGGAAAGGCTCCGAGGGCGGCAGGCAGGGCGGCCTCATCTCGCCTCATCAACATAAATACATAGTAGGGCCGAGCCGGCCGAGCCGGCCGAGCCCTCTGACGGTAACAGGTGTCTGATCAGTAAAGGGCGAAAGCCCTTCCTCCCTTCCAGGCCTTGAGCGGAAAAAATAGCGGGGCTCGCGGGAGACGCGCGCGAGAAACAGAAAGGGACTACCGGGCGGCGATAGATAAGTCTGAAAGGCGTTACCTCCCCGCCAATCTCATTTGGCTTTTCTTATCAAGCAAATTCAAGTCGGCGCACCGGCTGGGGTCGATAGAGGCAGGCGGTCCGTGGCTGCCCTGCCCTGCCACGCCCTGCCACGCCCTGCCACGCCCTGGCACGCCACGGCCTCGGCCCCCCTGCGAAATTCCGCCTGGCCAGTCGCCATTGCCGCATGACGAATTTATACCGCGGGGAAGAAAAGTGCGGGGTGTCTCGGTGTCTCGGCGTGCCGACTCGGCAGAGATAGCCGTGATGGACGACGGACACGTCGGGGGCGGCCGCACGCGAAACACTTTTCTCTTTTTGTAAAACAAAAAGAAAAGAGAGATAGAAATACATAAATAAACCAATGCCGCATTGAGAATCACCGCTCACGGTGAGTGCAATTTGCATGGCTGGGCCGTTCATTAGGTCTCAGTCTCGCTCACCACCTCCACGCTCACCGCCGCGCTCACCGCCACGCTCACCGCCACGCTCACCGCCACGCTCACAGCCACGCTCACGGCCACGCTCACCGCCACGCTCACGCGCAGGCAGAGGGCGGCGCCACGCGTGGGCCCTGATCTGTCTCTGGAAATGAATTATTCTATTTGCACGGCGGCGTCTCGCATTCCAGCGGGGTGCGAGCCTGGAGCCTCCAGCCAGCCAGCCGGAGGGGGAGTGACAGACAAGCTGCAGCCCCGCTGGAAAAGCTTTTTGGCACGGCGTCCGGCCTCCAGCCCAGCCTCCAGCCCAGCCTCCAGCCCTCCAGGCAAGGGCCAAGGGCCAAGGGGTTGCTGGCCCGATTTGCAATTCATTCCAGCGGGGTGCGCCCGGGCGCCGTGTCGGCGCTTGTCTCGTGCTCGCCGCCCTTCGCGCCCCCGTTGAACAGCGCCGCAAATCAGCAGTGCCGCCGCGAAGCACCGCGAAGAGGCCCTGTCCAACTTTTGCCGAGCGCCTGAAAGTAGGCAAAGCTTCTCCCTGCAGACGTCGGTGTGGAGCGCGTGGCCTACCCTGCCATAACGCCTGCGGAGCGCCGGGTAGGCCACCCGGTCTACGCTGGAGTCTCCTCCAACGGGATGTTGCCCACTTTTTCCTGTTTTTTTTTTCTGGCAACGCTTCCGAGCGGGCTGCGGCGGCGCGGTCTGGAGGGCCTGCCAGCCAGCAGGGCAGTGTTTCTCCGGGGCCGCTGGGTCGCCGCTGGGTGAGGCCGGCCGGGACATCAATTCATGCCGGCCGAGGACCGAGGACCGAGCGAGCTCAAGTAACGAGCATTAAGAAGAATCTGTGAGGGCGAGGCGGTGCCAGCTATTTGTTAAGAGCAGAGGGGGCGGCCGAGCCCACAGCGCCCACAGCCTGCCCAGGACCAGGAACGCGGAAGGAGCGGGGTGATCGGGAATTTTTTCGCGTGAAAGGGCAAAAGGGGTACATTTTTTCGACCTGGGAAGGAACGTAAAATAACGCCAGACACGCGGGAAGCAAATTTGGCCTGGACACTGGAAAATGAAATAGCAGGCAGAGCCGCGCCGGCAGTGGGGCAAAGAATAATCCGGACGGGCAGACGAGAGGCGGCCAGGCGGGTCGCGAGGCGGGAATTGGCCAAGTGGAAAATGAAGCAATGCAGTCGGCTAGGTACACAGAGCGGCGTGGCGCGGCGCCGTCTGGAGGCCGTCGCCGGCAGAGGTGCAAGCGGGTTGGGGCGGGGCCCGCCGCGGGGGACGACGATGGGGTGCTCGCTCCATGCCGGCCTCGACGCCGGCCTCGACGCCGGCCTCGATAGTGGCTGGGCTGTGGTCACGCCCGGCATGCACGTGGCTGGTCATGGGGGACCTCCCCGCACGTTGGCCTGGCCCACTGGGCACGCTGGGCACGGCCACGCGTGTGCTCCCTGATACGGCCCTTTGTTGCCGAAACCGCGCGGCAACGCAAACACCGAGCAGCGGCCCCGGCCAGGCCAAGGCGGGGCAGGGCCCGGCAGGCCCGGCAGGGCGGATCCACCTGGCAGCGCGGGGCCGCTGCGCTACGCTTCGCCCGGGGCGCGGCCTAGACGTGCCCTCGCATGCCTCCATATTGCTTCTAAGCGTCTTCCCCTCGGGGGCTTACATCGTCCGGGGGAGGGCCGAGGAGGGAGGGGGCAGAAGGGCTTGCCGAAGGGGGCCGAACCGAACATGCCATATCTCATGAGAGGGCGAGACATCTGTGCGACCGCCCCTGCGTGGCGCGGCGTGGCGCGGCGTGGCTGGCGGGGAGTAGCTCCACCACGAACCGATCCGCGCAGGCAGTGCAGGCATTCAGGCGCTGGCGCCGACAGGTGGCCTCGCCGAGGGCCTCGCCGAGGGCCTCGCCCACCGCACTCCTTGCCTCTTCCCGACTCCCACTTCCCTGCACTCCTACAAATGACACGGCAAGCAACTCCGGCGGAAACGCCGCGGGCTCGTCGTGACCGCGGGAACCCCCAACCACCTCGCAGCCGACGACGCCACCCCAGCCACCCAGCCCTGTGCCGCAGAGTCAACTTTGACGGGGCGACAAAAGGAACGGCGGAGGCAAAGACACCCTATTCCCCCACCCCTCCCCAAGCCGAGAATAAGGGTCGCGAGATTCGTGCATGAAACGCATGCAGCCCCTGCTCTGCCCTGCTCTGCCCTGCTCCAGATTCCGCGGCAGTGTGCGCGCCCTGGAATGCGAGGCGCGGCGGCGCGGCGGCCCGGCGTTCCATACACCCCGACATGCTCGCTGCTTCTCACTCTTTGAAACTCCACACCCCCGCCACCATCGTCCCTTTGCTGACCTCGCCACGGTATAATCGAAATATTTCCCCCCGACTCGATCTAATTTGAGTCAACATAGTTAAAAGTTTCCGACGGTCGTGCGATTAAGGGAGTTTCCAGCGCGCGGCCGCGCGGCGGGCCCTGAAAGGGATATGCCACGGTGTCCAGACCCAAACAAAAACCCAGACGCCACTCTAATGCGAGTAGCCTAACTCGTCCAGGTGAAAAGAAAAACGAAAGCGGGACTCGAACCCCTTGCTCGGACTCGAATAAACAACAAGCAGATCGCAATCGCTGCGCGTTATATTAATCACTTTTATGCCCACGGACTATAAACATACAGACTCGCCTTGAATTGGGCAGTCTGAGGGCCAAAAGGTAACAGTCACTATTTCTAATGCTTTCACATACTCATGACGTTCTTATCGGTGGTTTCTTTCACATGCTACACCCACGATTTTGTCGATGACACCAGACGAGATACGGTTATCGTGAACAAATTTCCTAGAAGTATTTAAGCTTGCGGTACAATGTGGTACCCCACACGATTTGCTCTTTTAGCGATAACACTTAAAATTTAAGTGTGAAGTGAGAACACTCATCCTCTAAAATACTAACCGAGGACACATGTTGAGTGTTTCAAAAAATTGTCGTTAAGCTATAATTTTAGCGTGTGGACCTTCCAGTCTAATGGAGCAAGAATCCATTCATTTCCTCACGAAAAAACCCACGCAGGCCAGCGGTTTATACTACCCCCACAAGGCCAGTTCACGAGCCAATGTATTTATTACAAAAGTTTGTTTTCCTTTCCTGATTAGACTGCAACACCGATAATCCCGCACATGATAGGGCAAGCAGATGGCTCGCTTTAGTGCTATCCATAGGGGCGACCTGGTGCTAGTCCGCTCAATCGGCCTTTGTCGCCCTCATCGAACGGTGAGTGTACGACACGCGTCGCTAGGTGGTCTTCTCCATAGACCACCCTCCATGTTCTATGTTCAGCCCTCGCCATGCCCATCACTTTGTACGGCCTCAACACCAGCCCCCCGGTGCGCGGGGTGCGTCTGGCCGCGAAGGCCATGGGCATCGAGTTCGACTGCAAGTCCGTCGACGTCCTGTTGGGGGAGGAAATGAAACCAGAGTTTCTCAAGGTCAGTGCATTATGTATTGTAGATACGTTAAAGACGTGTTGCCGCCATCTTCTTATGATTCTATTTTTTTTACGGAGAGTGAAATCTTTACAGATCAATCCACATCACACTGTGCCAACTATCGTGGATGGAGACTTTGTCCTTTGGGATAGGTTAGTATTCAGTGGCACGAAGACTTTTTTTATCCTCTGTGTTTGTGACGTCCACGCGATTTCCGCAGCCATGCCATCGTGACGTACCTCGGTGACAAGACCGGCAACGACGCCTGGTACCCCAAGGACATCAAGAAGAGGGCCACCCTGCAGCAGCGCCTGCATTACAACAACTCCGTCCTCTTCACGAGGTTCAGGGCCTACGTGGTGAGTGTGGCACCACTGCCGTTTCAAGGATGTCAGAGCAAAGCAGACCACCTACGACCTTCCCCGTTGCCCAGGACCCCATCTTCTATAAGAACGACCTGGATGTGCCACCGGAACGGATCCAGAGGCTGCAAGACGCCTTGGACCTCATGGAGCCCATCATCCACGAGGGGGGCTGGCTCGTCGGCGACCACCCCACCATCGCGGACTGCTGCTGCGTCGCCAGTGTCTCCACCATCGTGGTAAGTGACAAATTTTTTTTTGAAACTCTGTTTTATTTTTCATTAGCAAGCGTGCTCACGCAGCTCAACTCCCTTTACTTTAGCAAGTACTCCCTCAGCTGACCTTGAAGCCGAAAGTGGCTGCCTGGCTGCGACGATGTAAGAAGGAACTGCCTGGATACAACGAGGTCAACGCCCCCTTCGCCAATAAGGTCGCCGAGCATGCAGCGAAGATTCTTCGTGAGAAATGGCGCAGTTGAATCTCGTTTCGGTCATTTTTCTCTCCTGACACAGTGGTTTTTAAGTAAAAACTTTGCAATGTGTGTTGTGGAGCAGTAGGTAAGAGCGTAGAACGCCTGCAGCACACGAGGTAGGCTGTCCCGCACGGCATTGGTTCGTGGTGGAATGCCTAGCCTCCAGGGGCTCCGCTCAAAGGGACTTCCGCCCCGCGACGCGTCCACTGGCAAAGCAGTGCGACGCCATAGACCGCGGGGCACTCGGCCGCAAAACGATGCAGTTGTCGCCGCAGACGGGACGAGAATGAGAGAAAAGGGGGAAAGAGGGGCGGACGGACGCACGGGCCACTCGGCCAAATGTCAGCGCATAAATTTAACGCGGCGCCAGACGGCTGACCTTTGTTTGATGGGGGTTCGCTGCCGGGGCGGCCAAGGAAAGGGGTGGCTTGCTCGCTGGGAGGGAGACCTTGACACACCGTGCCACGCCTCAGGGCCGCCCCCGGCCGCCACCAGCTCCAGTTTTAAACTCGGCCATCCAAATTGAATTGCCGGCATCGGGGGAATCGCCTTGGCCGGGCGGCCGGCGAATGCGGGGAGTGTGGCAACAATGTACGACATACACGTCGTTCAACGCTTTTCACGAGCTCGAAACGCGCCGCAGCCCAGTCAATACCCCCACCCTCCCTTCATGACACGTGTGCCGCAGGGAGGGGGAGGGAGGGGAAAGGTGGACGTTGCGAAGAAGATTCATGTTGATTGCTTTCCGGACGATCCATAGTCCATACCAACACTGCGGGCCCGGCCGCGCGGGCCCACAGGCCGCCTCGCTGCTGTATGGCAAATTGGCAATCAATTCACCTACGCCGAGCGCGGCGGGGATCATTAATGCAGGCGTTTTAGGGATAAACTGCGCCGCCTCTCCCCACCCAGTAAAAACCCGAAACATTTTCTAGAGATCTGTTTACAAACGAGGGACATTTCAGAGCAGTCGAGCAGAGTGCAATAATTAAGGCGAAAAACGACCGCGGCTGGCGGTGGCACGGCGTGGGGCCGAGGCCTCGGCCGAGGCGGACGGACGGGCGGAAGGACAAGAGGGCGCGCTGCTTCCACGATGTCCCCGCCGGTCTGCTTCGCGCTCCGCTTCGCGTGGCTTCGACCGGCCAGCCGCGCTTCTCCGGTCGCCCGGCCGAAGCGGCCCAAGCCACTCGTAATTGACTTATGAGTCGGGCTGGGGGCTGAGCCAAGGCCGCGGTGCCGGCAGGGCCAGCCCTTGGGCCAGCCAGTGCACAGGGCGCCCTCCCTGGGCGGGCAGGCGCGCCAAACCGCGGTGCAAAGTCCAAACTAAAAGAGAGAAAAAATGCCGCGACGGCCAATTTGGGTCCGCAACTTTGGGGAATTAAAATGACGCGGCAGGAATGCAAGACGAACCGGGTCACTCCAACTGGGTCCTGGAGTCCTCGGCGAACACGTGCACGATGGGCAGCCGGAGCGGCTTCGAAGCGGCTTCGGGAAACCGCACCGGAGTTTGCTGAGGAGAGGTCTCGAGTCTCGTGGCAAACGACGTGCTGGCCAAGACGTCCGCCGGGCCGGGCCATTCCGAAAGATCGTTTGGGCACTCTGTCTCTCTCCCAGCGTGAGTGCGACAGAGACAGAGCGCCCAAACTATCCTTCGGAATCATCGGGCTACCGCCGCTGCTCCTGCTCGCCCACTTCGGGGGATAGAAGGTAGGAAGTTAACAGTGGTGCGCGCGTCACAAGACCTCCTCTTCGCAGCGAGTGTTTGCCAAAAACTGCTCAAACAATGGGTGAACCACAGTTTTGTTTGCGAGCGTTAGAACGGCAATAGAACAGTGCGCATACGGGGCAGGGTCAGCGAAGCTGAACGGGGGTTGTGAATGCCCTGGCCACACGGCCTCCCACACACAAACACACACTCGTACACACATGTACACATTGAAGCATTCCGTCTAGGAACAAACTTTTGATAAGCGCACGTACTAGCGCAGCCGACTTGCCAGCCGTCGACGCGCCCTAACTTTTGGGCACACGCCAAAGGGACTCCCCTCCCCACCCCGCCTCCTCCAAGGGCAAGGGGACCAAACAGTCCGCATCCTTGTTCCGCACATCGCCGTGAACAGAGAAAGAAGAAGACATTGTGGCCAGCGATTTCATCACGCCACTGCTTCCAATAGCCGTATGTTGTGACTGTTGTTGTCCAAATGGCGACTACTTAGCATACTGCCATAATTCATCCTTTAGCATATTTTACAGGCAAATATTTCAGGAACGTGGGGAGACGTCGGCGATAAATTTACGAATAACGGGATGAAATTAATCGATTTAGACAGACCAAGCAGTTAAATTAATTTGCTGTTTCCTCGTAAGAAGACGGACAATGAGGCAGGAACGCAGTGAGTTCTAGGACTGCAGCCGCTGCTTCCCAAAGGCCACGCCGCGCCGGAGCGGGACGAGCGGGGCGAAGGGACGAGCCCACATTCCACCGATAAAGTGATTTCTCCAACCTGAATATGCATCGCGCCGTCCACATTGGCCGGAAATCTCTCACCTCTCCCTTCCCCTTCCCTCTCCCTCTCTCTCGCCATAAAATTGGGGCAGTTTTCCTGACGCGCCGCGTGCCGTCGCATCCGCATGCAAACAGCCTGCTCTGCATCCGCGATCCAATCACACGCAAAAAGAAGAACGAGTTGGAGCTGGAGAGAGACAGAGAAAGAGGAAAAACGAGAACAGAATCCGAATTTTCTCAGCAGCAGCAGCCGCGTCGAGTTCACAGCCTTGTGCATATAGCGCCTCCTGAATGATTCCGTGCAGTACTCCCAGAACCGGATCTCAAGGCCGTTTCTCCTGCCTACGCCGTGCCGGCCGTGCCGGCCGTGCCGCGCCTCGCCCTGCTCTTTCTCCAGCCGGCCGGCGCTGGACTCCAGCCGCTGGACCAACGTGCGCCTGGCACACGCCGACTCGGCGTATCGAGACATCGAGGCGGGTGCGAGGCGGCGAGGCTGCGAGGGCGACACGTCCCGGAGAAAGCGTGCAGGCCGCGCTCCGGTCCGGGCCGCCAGGCCGCCGGGCCGCCAGGCTGCTGCACTTGATGTTGGCGGCAGGGAGACCCCCGCACATCCGGCTGGCACAAGCTTCAGCCACGCCCTGCCATCTGCGGCACTGACGCCGACGACGAGCTCAACAAGTCAATTAGCAAATCAGTGGCGTGTCACTCCCGGTCGCTGAGCAGCCCGTCAAGGAGGTGGCCCGGCCCCCGGCCCCGTCTGGAGGTCGGAAACAGTCATCGAAGGCCCAGAACCCGGCGGCCCGAGCGAGGCAGCCCAAGGCTGCCCAAGGCTGCCCAAGGCGAAGGCTGCCGGCCGGGGAGACACTTTCCCCACCGCGTCCTGCCACGTCCGGGTCACGACGCGGCGCTGCGGCCGTGCTGCAGCCGATCATCTGCATGGCTGTGCGGCGCTGTGCGGCGCGGCGCGCTCACTGACCGCGGCCAGCGCGGTCCGCTCCGTGATACACGGCCGCCACCCAGTGATGTAGCGCGCCATTGCGGCCCCGTTCCCATCCCCAGGGCCGCGGGCCGCACTGCGCGCAGTCGAAATGAAACGGGCGCAACGCCGCGCGTAGACACTAAACAGTAAACACCTCTCCGGGGACGGCGCGTCGATGTCACGCCGTCCTGAATATTCATCCGTGCTCGACATATCATTCCAGCCGGCCCGGCCGCGCGGCGGGATATTTCGTCAGTCGGCCAGCCTCCTCATCCCCGGGCGTGTGCTGCGCAGTGCTGCGCGTCAGACGGCCGATAGGTGGTGGGCTGCCTCGTGCTCTCTCTCTCTCTTTCTCCCTCTTTCTGCCTCGCGCGCGCGGCCTCGGTTGCACATCGTCACATCCTGTTGGTCAGGACGCGATGCCGGGACGGTCGGGACGGTCGGGACGGGTGGCCGGAGGTTTCGAGAGGCGGCGGCGCGCCGTGCGCTGTGCCAAGCAAGCCAAGCCGGTGCTGAGCAAGCGGTGCACGCCCTGCCCCCAATCCCACACCCTGACTGCCTGCCGCGAGAGGAGCATCGCAACTTTACTTTCCAACGGCCGGACAAGTGCCAGGATGGCCGAGCGGTTAAATTCCGAAGTTGCAGCCATCCAAACTGCTGAAAAGCCGAAGCAGAGAGAAGAGCCGGCAAATCTAGGTGTTCGGTCGAATGGGGCCGCGCGAACTGGCCGCGGCGGAAAAGTTTCAACAGTGATGTGGCCGCGCTCCGCCGCCACTACAAGAGCCCCGCGATGATGATGGCCATCTCATTACCCAGGCACCTCACGCGCCGTCTTCCTGTCCCTGGAGGCTGCCTGCGCGGTGCTGCGCGGTGCTGGGCGGTGCTGCGCGCCAGGGCAACCGCGACCAGCACCACCACCACGGACGCCATCCAAACCACCACCATTTTTCTCGTTGCGGGCCGGAAGGCGCGCCACCGCAGCACAGTGTGCTTGGTGCGGGCGGTGGGCCCTGTCTGGCTGGTGGCGATTTCACGTACTCAAAACCCAATGAGTGCGCAGGGCGCGCAGGCAACCGCAAGCTTGTTTTCCTGTTTGAAGCACGCACTCGGCCAGACTCACCGCATGTTCAAATACACACACCGACGCACATGAGCGAAAAGGAGCGAGTAAACTCGAAGCAATAAAAGACGCAGGTGGCGGCCTAGAGCGGCCACGGCGGCCCCTGGGCCTCAAACGGCCATTCGGCACTTAAACGCGGTGCTCGGTGCTCGACTCGGCCAAATCGTCACCAATAACGGCCCTCGTGCGGAACGCCGCCGACCGTCTTTATTTTGGTGGCCATTTTCGCCTTTTTCTTTTCGTTCAAAGGGGACGGAGTTGCCCGGGGCGGAAGAGGCAGGGTAAGCCTCGTGAAGGAAATATGAACGGCTCTGCTGTGGGGACAGAGGGGACGGCGAGGGAGCACGCTGAATGTTGATGATGAGGCGGGCGGGCCCTAATGCTATTGGCTGGTGGTGATGGCGTCGACGGCATGTCCCCCTCAGCCGCCCAACGAGGTTACGAGAAACGCAATAGGAATGCGTTGGCTGGACTATCGGGTCTG